GACCCATTCTACCCCAAGGGAAAACGGACAAATTGTCCTTGGGTTTACAGTTGCTCAAAAACATATGGGAATCGACCTAAGGCAGGCTGTCACATTGCTCCAGGCCTTCTATGTTCTGTTTATTTGCCTTTGACTCAACAGACACATTATTTCAGAGAAAACAGTTACTTCTGATTGTTATCTACTTTGTGGGTTGATCTGAGACAGGCAATTTCTCAGCTGCCCAAGGGGGATGCATTTTTGTTAGAAAGGATTCACAATGGGCAAGGAATTAAACTAGATAACCTGTAAAACTTTTCTTACTATGAGGATCTGCAAAGCATACTTTGCAGGCAGATGGCTCTCATACTATGTTACAGTCAGCTGGCTCACAAGGAATGATGAAGTTGTAATGGAGTGTTGGTTTCCATCCTTATCATCACCCCAGACCAGAGTAAACACTTCTTCCACTGAACTATTCATCTTGGCAACTAGCATTGGGTGCCTGGTGGTGGTGTTTATCTTTTTGTAGAACCGTCTATTTAACATCTACATTTAAATAACTAATACAGATACCAAATTTACCTTGTTCAAAAGTCAAACTCTTAATTTTTATTCTCTATCCTCAACCTACTCTCCCTATAGTCTTACCCATTTCAGTAAGTGATTACTCTGTTCTTCCAACTGCTAGGTCAAAAAATTTGAGGTCATCCATGACCACTCTTCCTTTTAGACTCTTAATCCAACCCATCAACAAATCCATTAGTTCTGTCTTCAAAATCTATCCAGAATATGATCTTTTCTTGTCTCCTTCACAGCTATCACACTGCTCAAAGGCACCATCATTTCTCACCAGATTATTGCATAACTGCCTCCTACTCAGTCTTCTGCTTCCACTCCTGCTTTCTGCAGTCTAAACCACCTATAAGCCTAAGTAATATTTTCATAAAATAAGTCATATCATGTCACCTCTGTGCTCAAAATCTTCCACTGGCCTCCCATCTCAGATTACAAACCAAATGCCTGCAGAATGGCTTCCCACTACATCTCTGATGTTATCTCCTAATACCTACCCCTCTTGCTTATTTTGTTCTAGCCACATTGGCCTTCTTACAGTTTTTCAATCATGTCAAGCACGCTGATGCCTTGTACTTGCTATTCCTTCTGCCCTGGAACACTCTTCTCCAAGATACTTTGCTCCCTCATTTCTGATAACACACTGTATGTCCTCAAATGTAATTTTATCAGAGAGGCCTTCTCAGGTTACCCATCAAGTCTCTATCCCACCCTACTCTGACCACTGCCCTCCTTATTCTGCTTATCCTTATTTATGTTCCGCATAGCACTGATTATTACCTGATGTATGTTTACTTGATTTTATTTTCTTCCCCTTTCCCCTACAGGAACACAGGTTCTATGAGGCAAGAACATATGGAGGAAGAGGACACATTTATTTTAATTTAAACGAAAGCAAGAACTTTGTTTTGGTTCACTATTCTATCTCCAATGTCTAAATTACTGCCTGACATGTAGTGGGTGCTAAATAATTATCTGTATAATGCATTAATCTGTCCTGTTCTTCTCCCAACCTATAAACTCCTTATAAAAAGAAATTTTTCCATCTTCATCTTTGTGGTCTCACTCCCAGACTGTGAGACTGTGCCCTGAACACATCAAGTGTTCAAATAATGTTTGCTATAAGTAGGATGCAATTACGAATCTACAAATCTTCAATTTGTGCCAGATCCTGGCATTGTACTGGTATTTCATGCTGTTCTTCTAAGGCTTCAAAGTTCTTTAGCCCAAGACTTGTGGCATTACAGATATGTTATGGCATTATGAATGGCTAATTATATGGCACAGCCCAGAGCTGCTCTAAAAAAAAAATCTATCCAGAATATGATCTTTTCTTGTTTCCTTCAAATACCTGACAGAGATTCTGATCAGGTATTTTATGGTAAGTTTGCTTCATTGTGTTCTGCCATTCCTCTCCTGAACTTCATTCCTAATTCTAGTCAGTTTTGCAAAAGCATCTGGTTACAAACAGAATCGATCATAGGTAGAAAAGAAAAACTTTCTCTCAGACAAGTAAGAATGTGGCTTAATGCATACAGGTCAGTAATTATATCATGTAGGAAAGGCAGCATAGAGTTATGTAACATGACTGTTGTTTTAAATTAAAAAATCCTTAGCACAATAAGAACTTTTATGAACCTGATAGCTCAAAAAAGAAAAATTACAATAGGCAAAACTCTAAAAATGAAAAGATGATATTTTTCTCCAGCTTTATCAAGTTTTTTAAAAAAATAAATCATATTATATATCACTCATATCTCTGGTTTTAATCCTTAATATAAAAAAGAAAAATAATACAAGATGAAAGGATAAACAAGAGAACCAGACATAGGAAATATGATTAAATTCCGCAGCAGATTTTGTAGCAACCAACTCCACACACACAGGAAACAGGGTACAGAAAGTGGGAACCACAGCTCACTTTCTTTTGCAGTCAACCGCTGTGTGTCATACTTCTGCCCAAGAAAACATGACCACCTTTGATTGCCTTTAGGTGCCCTCTGATCCAAAAAGGACTGGTAAGCTGGTATCAAACAGTTAACATTACAGAAAGAGCAGTAATCCAGAAATCCTAGCAATATAATTCAAATATAGGTTACTAATGTGAAGAAAAATTACCCACAACCTTTACACTGGCTTAAGCCCCAGTGTCAATTAAAATGAATGTGCCCTCTTCTCCCAATCTCTCTCTGGTGCTACCCCCTCCCCTGTCTTGTGTCCCTTCTTTATAGATTATACTATAAACTAGTTCAAGTAAGAACAATTCAGTTAATTGGAGCATCCTCCAAATATTACTCTCTCAGTGAGAAGAAATGGATTCGACACTAGCCTATCCTACCGGATAGATGTACTTATAAAGTAAAGTGATAAGAATATACTTCTAAGGTCATCTCTAAGATTGTACTGAGACTGCAGCATCAGTTCTAAGAGAGCTTAAGCATGATGCCTCACCCCAGCTCTGTAGCCCTCCTAGCCCTACCTCAGTCTGCCTTGGTTTCTGTGGCTCATTCTTGTTCTTCTGTGCAATCACTTGCACAAGTATGAGAACAGTGAAAGAGGGAAATCTACCCCAGACAATGAGATACAGAAAGTGCAAACCATAGTTCAGAGCCTTGTGCTCAATTGCTATGTGTCACACCCATGCAATATACTGCTTAAGGATCCTTTTGCTTTGCAGCCTATGCTCTATGTTGTCAGCTCTTCATGGCCAAACTGAGACAGACTGGAGTCAGAAAAGCTGATGGCATTCTTACATAGCATGAAGTAGGATAAGAAATCCTAGACAGAAGGCTGCAAAGGTAGTTCTTCAGAACCAGGAAGCGCCCTGATAATCCAGGACAACCAAATGTCAATTATCTTAAATCCAGCATGAAAAAATTCACATTTTAATCCTAATACTTCTTTATTGATTCTTGAGGCTTCCAAGAACTAGGATTATTTTGGCCTGAAGGAAAGAAGACTTGGACTTGATTTGCTAAATGAATCTAGCCTGCTTTAAAGAGAAAGAAGTGAAGAGAGAATTTTCTTTTTGTAAGAATACATTTCAATCATAATCACTCTGGGTTAGCATGAAACAGATTGACTATCTTGTGGCTTGTACAGAAAAAAAAAAGCTTTTTAAAAACAGAGCCAGATAAGAGGAGTAGACATCCCTTCCACATAAGTAGTACTAACTGGAAAGAGGAGAAATCTCATATTGGTATCTGTGTAATTTTAGAGCTGTTTAATTTAAAAAAAAAAAAAAGAAATAAAGGGAAGTAGATGCAGAAGCTCTGCTCTCCATTACTATCCCAGGGAAATGCCATTTTCAGTGAACCTGGACCAACAATTGCATCTAAAATTAAGCTTAAAATGAAAAATACTAGAAAAATTACACACAGCACCTATTTCATTTGTAAAATAGGGAACACTTAATTAATATTCTGTAAGTTACTGACCCAATGAATAAAGTGATTTTGAAATTTAAGAAAAAGATCAAACTACAAGAAAAAAACTACAAAGCTAAACATAAATTTGGCCCCACATCACTACAGAGACTGACGGACGAAAGTCAGGTTTAGTTATTTACACCGGCAACATTTAGTCATCCATTCCTGTTCCACAGACAGGGCAGTATGATCTTTGAACTCAGACCCCCGTCCTGGGCTTCTCTTAATGCCGAGAACAACCATGCCAGAAAAAAACTACCAACTGTGCCAACTACCCCAGCTCCAACGCTACACATTAGCTGGTCCCTAAGCTGGAGCAGCCTGGCTTCCTCTCTCTCTACCCCTTGAGGGTGGGGCTGGAAGATGAGAAAAGATGAAAATGATGAAGAGATGTTTGGGGTTCAGGTAACCTTCACGTTCGACCCCTTCTCTCCTCTCTGCCTACTCAGGATGTTATGTCAAAAGCAGAGAAGACCAAAACCAAGCAGAGAGGTAGATTTTGCATAGTAGGGCGGTGGATTCAATAAGTCATCTGAATATGACGACTGTCAAGAAACCCCCTTTGCACTTCTTTCTCTCTTCACACAGCCATTAGAAGTCACCTCTGTCTGGGTCACAAGGATGGCTACGCAGCCTGTAAGGCCGTGGGAGATGCCCTAGCTGCAAGCCTCAAGCCCCATGAACAAATTCGGTATGAAGGAAGGATATCTCAGGGCAAGAGGGGCAGGGCAGGGTCTCCCCTTTCTACTGGAGAGGAGAGAGACACGCAGGGAGGAAGCAGAGTTGACGAGAGGGCAAGCTGCAAAAGCTACGACGGAATCCTAGAGAAACCTGAGCAGGGGGATGCTGGATGGGGAGAAATCCCGGACAGAGCAACAGGGAGACAGTGGACAGTGACTCAGTGAAAGCGGCAAAGGTCAGGCCCTGGGAGACTGCACGGCTTGAAGGTGACGGGTCCGCGAGGGCGGGCGGAGAGGCGACGGGGATTCCCAGGCAGTCGCGGTCGCGGGGTCTCACCGTGTCCTTGGACGAACCCAGCTTCTTGAGGCCGTCCAGGGGCAGCAGGTCGGCGGAGTCCTTGTGGATGAACTGCACAGCTTGCTTCACCCGGCGCTGCTGTCGCAGCGACGCTGCCTCCCGCATGTCTGTCTCCTTGCGGCCGCCCTCGGTGAGGAGCCCTGAGTAAAACATCTCTGAGGCCCCGGCGACCCAGCCGCGCAGAGGCTCCCGCACCCCAACTCCTTCAGCCTCGAGCTCTTACAGCGCCCTAAGGGCCGCGCGCCTTTTATAGCCGAGCGTGACGTCACCCGGAGCAGCCAGTGCGCGCGCGGAGGGGCGGGACCGGCACAGCGCCCCCTACTGGCACACGGCTGCCCAGCCTCCGGCGTCCACTACCGGACTAGGAGAAAACGCGAAGGAGGCGCAGACCGCGCAGGCAGTACTGACCCGAGGACCAATGGTCCACCGTGCTCGCTTAACCCAACTGCCCCTCTCTGGTGTGCGTGTCCCATATACCCTGATCAATGCCCGAGCAGCCTCTCACCCTCCAGCCGTCTCCCCTTTTTTGCACCCCAATTCTGGCTCACCTGTCCAAGCCGTGGCGGACCCGGGGATCACTGACAGCCGGGCCATGCCTCGAGTCCCGCCGCCCGCACCGCTGCTCGGCCTCGCAGATTCGCACCTCCGTGGCCCCTCCCGGACCCGCGGTGTCCACAGCCCGGGAGGGCGCGGCGCGCTCCGAAGTTGGGAGAGCTCAGGATTTCTCCAACTTCAGATTGGTCTCCACCCACTGGGCTACGTGATTGCGGAGAGGGCAGCCGGTGGAGGTGGCCTGCCGGGGACCCTCCTCCTCCAAGCACCCTCTGCCTGGGATCCCGAAGCCCGGCACCCGCGCTTCAGAGCCGAGGAAGCAGATCTGCCCAGGATTGGGGAGTGGCGAGGGTTCCTGCTTTTACGAGAACGCACATGGCTGCGAACCCTACACCTACTCTCGGGAACACTGACAGAAAAACACCCGTCTTTCTCAGCAAAGGCTAAAGCATACCCTCAAGAGGGTCTTTCACCCATCTCCAGCATCCTTGTGGGAACAATTGGAACCAGTTTTTCTTCGTGAATCATGCATGCTTTCAAGCCATACTAACAGGGCCTTGAGGGAACCTTTGGTTCTGGTTTAGATCTTGTGACTTGGTACAAACCAGGTTTCCACTCTGGAAACCACCAAAACTACCCTTTCCACCCCGTCTCACAGGAGCAGGCATGAATCAGAACGATCTGCACTTTGAAGAGAACCAACAGTAAAAGTAGCAATAACAACACTTACTGAGAGTTTACTATGTGCCAGGTACTGGAATAAACACTTGAAGTGCAGTATCTCCTTGAATCCTGGCAACAGCTTATGAAATGATATTATCATTATTCCCATTTTACAGGTAAATATCTGTTACCCTTCCAACCCATTGTTCACTGTGTTGTGAGGATAATCTCCTCCAACTACAAGCGTGATCTTCTCACTTCCCTGCTAGGAGCAACCTCAAAAGCTTCCTATTGCTCTAAAGTAATGACCCACCCTGTCTCTGTAATCTGTACTTCAGCCTCATGAGCCTTCTTCTAGTTAGTTGGCTGGTCTCCCTATGGTCACGTGGGCTACCTTTGAATATCCTGGTGCTTCTATAATGGTGCCCTTCTATCCTCTTCAGGAAACTCTATACTTCCTCCAGATCTCATATCATTTCTTTAGGAAAGCCTTCTCTGACTTCCCAGAGAGGGTGAATTTTCCCTACTTGTATACTTTGTATCTCTCCTGGACATTTCGCTTTGTGTGTGTGTGAATGTGGTAGGGTATTGGTTGGTTGTTTAATATTTGTCTGCCCCATTGCTTGCAAACTCCAAGATGGTAACTGAGTCCATTTTTTGCTTACCATTGAATCCCTGATACATAGAGGGCTCTCACCAAGTAATGCTGGTATAAGTATGGCAAAAGTTATGTTCGTGCCAAAGGAAAGCAAGTGGTAGAGCTGGGATCTCCCCTCAGAACCTGTCCTGGATCTCTCAGAGCTGGATGAGCTAGGTTCGACTTCATGAACCTGATTCTTTCCCTCTCTTCTGCCTTCAACATTTGTCCCAGTTTCAGAGAGTACAGACTGCTTGTGGGAAAACAAATCCAGAGGGCTGCTTACCTGGCTTTAAGGAAACTCCAGGGCTGGATTCCTCCCTGATTGCCTGACCCCATTTCCTCCTAACACACACACACAGGGCGGAGTCTCTAAGAGGCAGGTGGGATTACTGCTCACCTTCCAGTCTCTTGACATAATTCCAGCAGTGAACAACAGTAGTTTCCCTGGTCCCTTCTGTCCCATCACCTGGATCCCTGCCTGGTCACACCTCCTGGCGTGGGTCGCCCAGGGAATGGTGAAAGACAGCTTTGCCTTGTCTCTCTAGGACAGGTGCCTCTGAGCTTGGCAGAGCATAAGGACAGGTCCAACAGTGAAGGTCTCTGGGGCTTGAGCTGGGACTGCTGCTTTCCTTAGGAAGGAAACCAGACAAGTTGCAGCTCTGGGAGAGGAACTGGAATCCCCATCCAGAGGCAGTTAGACTCAGTCTGGCAGCTTTTTATGCTGAGGGTGTCTATAGAAGAAAGGGGCTCCTTTCATAGCTAGATCCCCCTGGGAACACTAGGAAGCTGAATCTCTCAGTTTGAACTGGAATTTGGCCATATCAAATGTTGCTGAAAAATAAATGGGGCCTGGCTGGAACTGGGAATCTTTTTGTGAATTCAGAGCTCTTTACTGTAGTGGGATTTGTGTTCTGGAATCAGATCTGTGGCCACAATACCTGTTGGTCCCCTCACCTGTCAGCCCTTCCTTGGCCAGACTGATACCATCACTGCCCTTAAGCCTGGGTCAACATGGTGAGGCCAGCTCTTCCCCACCCTGCACACACAGAGGAATGAGTATCTAGAGACTACAGACTGGCTGCTGAATTTGAGGAGTTTGCCTAAATGACTTTTTAATTTTTTTACTTTTTAAAGCCTAATGAACTCACTCATCTCAAATGACTTTAAGCAAGTCACTTCTCACCTCTGAGCCTCAGTTTTCGTATCTGTAAAATGAATGTAGTGAGATTGTATATACAATTGTGCTTTGTTAACTCTTCAGAATAGTACTAACAGAAAAGGGTATTATTACTTCTTCATATAGCCAACCCTCCCTGCACCCTTGACCCATCTCAAGGAAGTATAATATGACACAGTTGTTAAAAGTACAGGTACGTGTCATAGCTACGTGACTAGCTATGTGACTAGTACGTTACTTCACCACTGTGAGCTTTCAGGTCCTTATCTAGACCTCTATCTCTCAGGCTGCTGTAAGAATTTAATGAATAATACACAGTACCTTGTCTGGCATGTAGCATGGGCTTAGCACAAGGTAGCTACCATTATTACCTGGGACAGCCACAGGAAAACCTGTAGCTTGTAACACCCTCAGATTGCGCCTGGCCTTGGCTTCCTCCAAGCCTCCCTGCAGGGATTCAGGCATGGAAGTCAGACCTGCGCATCTGACCCCCTTCCTGGAGTGAAGGCCTCCTGAGGCAGGGGCTGGCCAGCTCTCTTCCTATCTTCAGATTCTGGATTTTTCATGTCAAATGGTTCTGTTCTAATGTTCTCTGCGTGCTACTTTGGCCATTGTAAAGGATCTGTACTCAAAAGTCATGCTACTTGTAGAGGTACTATTTTGGTTAGGATTTTATTCATGTTGTTCTTATAAGTGACAGAAACTCGACTGAAAAAAAAATTTTTTTTTTTTTGAGAAGAGTCTCATTATGTCGCCCTTAGTAGAGTGCTATGCTGTCACAGCTCGCAACAACCTCAAACTCTTGGGCTTAAGTGGTTCTCACTTGCCTCAGCCTCCCAAGTAGCTGGGACTATGGGCACTGGCCACAAAGCCTGGCTATTTTTTGGTTGTAGTTGTCATTGTTGTTTGGCAGCCCTGGACTGGGTTTGAACTCGCTAGCCCTGGTGTATGTGGCTGGCGCCCTAGCGCTGAGCTGAACTGAGTCTCAACTGAAAATTTCTTACACAAAAATGTATTTTTTTTTTTTTTT